AAACCCCAATTTATTTTAAAAAAAAAAAACATAAACTAAGTTCTTCAAAATTTATAAATTTTTTAATTTAAACCTTTACTTTTTTTAAAATTTTAATTTGACCCTTTCAAACTCTATCATCAAGTTTCGCCACCAAAAACCAATAAAAGAAACTTATACCAGAAGTCCAAAAGTATCGTAGCCATGATATAATTTATCATAGAAAAAGCCAAGAAAAAATATTATTATAAATATGTTAAAATATAATTAAAAACTAGGAAAATTCGATAATAATTAACTAGAAAAGAGGAAAAATGACATGGAGACCATGAAGAGCCCCCACCACTGCCTCAGTTAAAAATTGTGATAACAGGCTACCAATAGAGAATAACTGCTCGAGATAAAAAATAAATAGAAAGATTAAGGGTTTATTTGTTTCACGTAAAATGTTTTATTTATTTTTTGGTGTTTGGTTAAAAAATTTGGTTGGTTAGTGTAAAATATTTTCCTGGTCAATAAAATTTCTTTTACATTTTTTTGGAAAATGGCTTACGGTATGATTTTTCGTAAGTTATTTTTTGAACTTTTCGCTTCAAAGAATAAATATTCAAAATAATTTTATTTTATATATTTAATATTAATATAATATTTTAACATCATTTTAATCAAAAAATTATTTATTAAAATATTTAAAATATATTTATTAATATTTTTAATAATATAATATTCTATTTTTAATATTTTAATAATATAATCAATTATATTATAATAATATATGATATTATATTTTTATTTTAATAATTTTTAAAAATTTCATTAACTAATGAAAAATGATTTACACAATATCTTCCAAACAATGTTAAAAATATTTTTCAGAAAATGTTTTCAATTTTGAATAATTCTTGCATTCTTTTTATATATTTTATTATTAAATTTAATAAAACTTTGAAAAGGATTTAATTATTTAAATAAAAAGATTATGAACACTAAATAAAGCTAGGAGCCTTATCTCTTAAGCAGTCGTCTGGATGGATGCCCAGCTCTGTCACTTTTATTTTAGGGTAAACTATGCATTTAGTGCCTCAACTATTAATTTTATTTTGTTTTAATTATTCAACTATTTTTCTTTACAATTATATTTAATATTACGTTTTGGATTTATTTTGACTATAATTAAAAATTAATAAATTTATTGATATAATATTTTTTTATTTTTTAACAATGACAAACTTTAGAATGAATCTGAAAAAAATTAAACTTTAGGGTGAAACAGAATAAAAGTGATAATTGGAATGCTAAGCATGTAGTTTACCTTTTTATTTTATTTGTGTTGTTTTTCCATTCCTCTGTTCTCGGCAGCCAACAGTAATTTTTAATAAAAGATAGAAAATAAAGTTAAAACGCCAATGGCATTCAATGCAAATACCAACACCACGTTAAACTTGGTCAGAGGAAAAACCTGAAAATGTGGGCTTAAAAATACAGGATGAATATGTTATGTTCCACGAATATCATTAACGATAAGTATTATTAAATATTATTAATTTAATTTATAAAAATTTAAATTTAAAATAATTTAATATATAATTATAAATTAGTTAAAAAATTAAAAATAAATTATTTAAAATAATATATTAATTACATTAATTTTCATAATTTTTTAATAATAATAAAATATAATTTATCTTTAAATTTTTAACTAATTTATAATTATATGTTGAGCCCTTTAGAATTATATATATCTAAATTTATAGTAAATATAAGATAATATTTATTATTTTTTTTAATTGTGATAATAAATATTTATACCCTTGATCAAGGACGGATACAAGTTTCTTTTATTGGGGTGAACTAATAAAATTTTAATGGAATATAAGCTTCTAAAATTTAGGTGCAGGCTGAAAAAAGAATTTTTAATAAAAATAAAAATAAAATATCTAAAATATATAAAATTTTAAAAATTTTAAGTGCGATCGCTCTCGTCCTGCTGCCTAGGTTCATATTGCTACAAATATATGTGGTGCTCAAATCTACCACTTAAAGAGATAATAATAAAATTTTCAACCATTAAAATTGTTTAATTCGTATTAGAAAATATAATTTTTTTGAATAATCTGGAGTAAGTATAAGATAATATTTGTTTGAAGATAACTCTCAACCTTTTAACATTGAGCGCTCACACCCTTAATATCAATGGTGCTCGAACCTGAATCTTCAAAATAATAATAATTATTTTATTACGGATATCACTTATTCCTGCTAGGAAAATATACTGGATTTTACTTTTTAAGAAATATCCTGAAAAACATTGAAAATATTTCACAAGACTATTGGCTAAAGAATTCTGTGAGAAGACGAAGGGTATTTAGGTATTTTCGAATGTTTTAGTCGTATATATAAGGAGCGCTAAATTCCAGGTATTGTCGATGCACTCAAACGATGGCTTTTCCTGTGTATTGTTGTTTTTTATATTGTGCTACTATTTTCCTTTTTTGCACCTTTGCTAAAGCTACTCAGCCACCTGGTCTGATTTTAACAGTTGTCAACAACTGTCCCTTCACCATTTACCCAGCTATCCAACCCAACGCCGGCCACCCTGTCCTCGAAAAAGGCGGTTTCCCCCTTCAAACCTTGACCCACCGTTCCTTCCCCGCACCCACCGTCCACTGGTCCGGTCGTATCTGGGCTCGAACCGGCTGCACCTCCTCCAACGGCCAATTCTATTGCGCCACCGGAGATTGCGGCCACCGCATTGAGTGCAACGGCCTCGGTGGCGCCACCCCTGTGACGCTGGCGCAGTTCAGCCTCCACCACGGAGGCGAAGAAGACCTCTCTTCCTACGAAGTCAGCCTCGTCGACGGTTTTAATCTCCCTATGACAGTGACCCCACATGAAGGCAAAGGCGTTTGCCCCGTCGTCGGGTGTAGGGCTAATCTGCTGGCCACATGTCCAAACGAGTTACAATTCAGGTGGCCGATGGTTAAAGGGCCGGTGGTGGGATGCAAGAGTGGGTGCGGAGCCTTTGGTACGGACGAGCTTTGTTGCAGGAACCATTACAATAGTCCAGATACGTGTAAGGGTTCGAGTTATTCAGAGTTTTTCAAGCACGCCTGCCCCGCCACGTTTACGTATCCGCATGATAGCCCATCGCTCATGCACCACTGCTCTTCCCCACGTGAACTTAAGGTTATCTTCTGTCATTAGCTTAGCTACAACGCATTAATACAAATATGAAATAAATAAACTTCAATTTCTAGTCATATATATGTGTGTGTTATGCATGTTTTTAAGTTGGATTGAAGAATCAATGGTGTTGAACTGTAATTGATAGGGTATGCTTAAGTTTAAATGAATTGTTTGTTTGTTTGTTTAGATTTGTGTTTGAGCTTAGATGTGTGTTTGAGCTTTATTGATATTAAAAAGGATTATAGAAGGGATTTTCATTCAAAAGTAAAGATGAAAAACACTTTTTTGAAAGGCATACAATCAAAATTTTTCAACATTTTAATATTTATTTTTTTGGGGTAAACTACATGATGGTCACTAATGTTTAACTTTTCATTTTTTTCATTGAAGTTTCGAAAGTTACAAAATGACCATTAACATTATCGATTTATAACAAATTAGTCACTCATTGTAGCCCCTTCGACCCAACCTATACGGTACGATTAGATCTAATGGATTACAATAAAAAAATTTAAAAATATTTTCAACACTTTAAAATCATATCATAACCAAAACATCTTTAAAAAAATAGCCGAAAATAATAAATTTCAAATCGAGTAATATAAATTTAAAACACTATGCATATGTACGAAATAAGTATGCAATTAAACAAAATATCTCATCACAAATATCGTAGTAATGCAAATATAAGAAATAATATAAAATATGTAATAAAAACAATATTTAAAAAATATAAGCATGTCACCAATTCAAAATTTTTTTATTCGGGATGCCTATTCAAAAGTATCTGAAAGGGGAAAAATTTAGAGAGTAAGGTTGGAAACGGGCTAGATCTGGATCGGATCCAGCTAGATCCAGATCTAGACCTACTTTCACATCTTGAATCCAAACCCGCTCTAGATCCGTGGGTCTAGAAAATTGGGACTTAGATCCAGATCCAATAGATCTCATGGATCCGAGTCCAAAACCAGACTATTAAAAACAACTATTCGACCTATTTTTTAATGTAATAAAATTGTCATTGATTAATTTCACATCACATCTCTAATGAGGAATATTAATTTCAATACAACTAGTAACAGAAGGTGAGTACATAACAAAAAGAATGTGGTATAAAAATTATGACTGTCCAATGGGAATATAACAATCTCTAAAAGTAATTGCAATTCAGAAAGAATTTTGAGTATAAAAATCAACCCAATAAGAATTCAGGCGTCTCATTCTATAAAAATATTTATATATATTTTAAAACGTATTATGTCATTTATATATTAAAACTAAATGTGAGTTTTTCTATAAACGGGTCCATACCCGATATCTTAGTGTCAGATTCGGACCCGAATTTGTACTTTAATTAGAGGATCCAGACCCAGTCCGGAACCATCGGGTCCAAAATGTTAGGATCCCAACCCTATAAAATGGATATGGATCTACAGATTTGGGTCGAGTCCAGGATCCATTACCATCCCTATTGGGGAGTGAACTAAGGAGCTCAATGTGTTCCAATAAGTGCAGAATAAAACGTGCGGATAAATTTCAAATATGATTTCAGAAATCATAGAGTAAAAATCTCAGTACAGTTTTTATTTAAAACACATAGTTACCCTCTAATTGTACACTATATGCAGTTCCCCAAAACTGCATCTATAATGACTTTCCTAGGCCCATTGGACCTAGGAGCTAACCTGAGCGAGCACCTTGGGACCATAAGGACTTACCCTAGCCGAAGCATATGATACATCTGAGGGGAGTGCCCTCAGGTCCATAAGACTTACCTAATATACAAAGTAAATGAACCACCATAAGGGAGTGCCTTAGGGTCCATAAAGTCTTACCACTAGGCCTACTGGGCCCAAGAGCCCACCTAAGGGTCTCCTTAGGTCCATAAGGAATTACCAGCTTGATCGAAGATGAACCTACAAAACTCCAAAATACATCCAGAAGTACCCTAATAAAACAACTTCAGATAGTACCAATAAAATCAGGAAATCATATAAATTAAATGTTTTTTTTCAGTAGAAATACATAACCAGAGAACATGTATCACACAAACAAGAATTTAAATTCAGTAAAACAAATATCAAGAATTTAAGAAATAAAAAAACTAAATTAGGTTTTCAAATCAGATAAAACAATGATATCTCAAATCAGGAAAATTATTCATGTGCACATGTTAATTCAGATAGATATTAAAAATATGTATATAACACATAAAGAATACACCTCACAAAACGGGTTGGTCTAAAAGATATATTGAGCATCTTTTTTGCTACGCTCTACAACAATACATGAACTAACTTAGACCTAAACAGAGTAATAATCAAAGTAATATACTAGTTGAGTATTTAATAGAGTTATAGAACCATATGGGTAATCACGGGCTCAAGCGAATGAATGGATCGAGAGAAGTTGGGTCGAGTAGACGTATGATCAGAATAATCATGATTACCTTACATTACCAATAACATAAATCAGTTATCAGTCCAACCTAAAAAATACTTAAAATAATTATGCATGTTCAGATTCAAGGTTCGAATTGGAGGCTTTTGCGTTAGAATTTGACAAAACAGACTTCAAATTCAGACACAAGATGTCAAAAAACATAAAATAAGATTTAAAAAAAGTTAACTTTTTGATCAAAGTCAACTGCCAACGTTGGTCAAAGGTTAAAGTTAAAGTTAATGAGTGTGTTCAATGATTAGGTCAACGATCAAGTCAAAGTTAATAGTTTAATTCTACCAGTTTGATTGATCGATTGGTTTGGTCAGACTAGTTTAGATCGGTTTGGGCCAGTTCGGTCTGACCATACCAGCCTCTTAGAAGGTCTATCCTACTGGAGTCACCCCACGTGAGGAGGTGGCGTGTGGCGGCACGTGCGGTAGGGAAACTGTTAGAGGGAAGTGGTCGATTACTTTTGATGCATTAGTTTAACAATATTAACCCTAAACAACTCAAAAATCCAACCAAAATAACATAAAATGATTAAAAAAGAGTTCAAAGAGCTTACCAAAGATGGATGACAAAAGAGCAGCGGTGAGGCAATGATATTTATTGGGTTTTGGTTGGAAGGAATCGAAGATCTCAGATGTAGAGGCAGTGAGGCGAAAGGGTAACTGAATAGGTCGAAATCATAGTAGATAGTAGCGATGACATTATGGGGTTTTTAACAAACCTTTGATGGCTTCTTCATGGCAAACAACAAGATTACTTAACGAGTCAAGGGCAAGCTTCAGGTCGGAACGAGGCGATGCTTCAAATGGCGAGGGTGAAGACATTCACCGACGAGCGGTGGCTGAGTTCGGTGTTAAAGGGTTCGAATGATTTATCATGGTTTCAAAACGAATGACAACAAAATGGATATTTGACGATTATGGTTAGGGTCGCAAGGTGACATCGGAGTTGTTGGAGGTGGTGATGTAAGCCACCGCGCCAGAGACTAGGTTCGACGGTGAGGAGATTTAAGGATGAAGGAGATTCTAAAAACTTGAAATTTTATCAGGGAAAACTTATCTGTAACACCCCAAAAAGTTAGCAAGTGACCGAAAATATAATTTTTAAAAGTTTGGTGACCAAAGTATAAATTTAGAAAAGTTTAAGGAATTAAAGTGTAATTTTTAAAAAGTTATATTTTGGCCATGTAAATGAATAGTTCTCCTTAAAAGAAGTATTTTCATTTCACTCAGATTTTTTATCCAGGATTTGTATAAAAAGTCTATCAAAAGATAAAGTTCAATATAATATTCGGATAACCATATCGAATCATAAGCTTATAAAAATTTGAAGGAAGGTAGTTTTGGGTTAGAAAATTTATACTGATAATTTTAATCAGTGGAATTTGATGTGGATTAGTAGAATTTGCACTATAAAGTGGAATAGTGCAATTTAGTGATTAAATTGAATTTTTGGGAAAATGAAAGGGCAAAAAGAAAATTTGTTGTAAATGAGATTTTTATATTATTTAAGATTATTAAATAGAGATAAAAAAGGATGGCATGGAAGTAAATTTTATGATTGATTAATTAGAAGATATTTTGAATGAAATCTCTGAAATTTCTCTTCTTCTCCAGTATCTGATCGAGACCTCTATAGCCAAGGTGAGAATGTTTTCTTTTTCATTTTCATTTTCAAGACATTTTAGCAAGCTTTTGGACTAAGACATGAAATAGAAAAATAATCTGCATGAAATTCTCTACAAGTTGATATAAAAATTTCATTGATTCATGCTAAAGTGTTGAATGGGTATTTATGGGGGTTGAAAGAGAAATCAAATTTCAATGATTTAAGGTTGGTTTATGATGGTAGGAGTGTTACTGAGTTATAATTGAGAATGAAAATTGATTGGAAACAATTAGGAGAACTTATTTGAAATTATTGGTCATAAGGGAATATTATTGGAAAAATTTTATAAAAATGTTCTATGGGTTAAATTAAGTATTAGAATGATCTTGGATGCTTGGATTTGTGTTTTGGATTAAATTGAAGCATTGTTGGGTTGTTAGGGACCTTGTTGCAAGACTTGAGAATTTGAAAGATTAATAGATAATTACCGAAAAAATTGTGTACTATGCTGGAAATTTTACTTAGAATGATAGAATATTGATTTTGGATCAATGTGGAAGTTTTGGATAAGGTTGAGGATTAAGTTGAAAGATTTGGTAAAACTGTTGGTAAAAGTTTGCAAATGTGTAATGTTAATGTCCTATTTTGAAAATATTATGTGAATGGTGGAAAATTGTGAATGGTGGAAAATGATGATTAATATTGAAATTGAGTGGAATGTCAAAGGACTAAGTTGAACAATTTTGAAAATGTTGGGATGATTTTAAAGAAAGGTTGAATGGTGGCTAAGTGTGAAGTGTTTAAAAAATTGGTGATTTATTTTGATAAATGATAATTTAAGGGATTTGAAAGGGCTTTTTGATGGGAGTTAAAATTAGTTTCAATAGATGAAAGAAAATTAGTATCGATTATGCGTTAATAGCAATTTTTGAATTTTATTTGAATCTGAGTTATTATATTAGTTAGAGTACTAATTTATATTTGAAATTTGTTGGTGTCGGAATAATGATGTCTGTGTAGATCGTGATCGTTCTTAAGCTCAAAGTGAGTTAAAAGAAAAGGATAAATTCGTTAGTTAAATGATAGTAGCAAATAAAGTTAGTGAGACAACATGTGTGTCAACAGTTGCTTTCGTTCGAGTCTCGTTTTATTGTATATAATTATATAATTAATATAATTGTAATTATTATTATTACAAGACCGGAAGACCTATGTTACAACAAACAGACCCGAAGGTCCATATTACAACAAACATGTCCATACTTAGTTACAACCGGTTCAAGCCCAACTATCCGATCCAGGCCCAATCCCAGCAGACCCAAGAAAGGCCTAAATGTTGCTAGGGTTTCCAACATTTCCTCCAGCTGCCAGTAGCTCCCAGCCATTTGATTTAGATACAGATCAAGGATTCACAGCCATCCAGCAGAAGCCCTAGGGTTTTATTACACCCTAGGGCCTATTCCGACCACCACCTCCAGTTGTTCCAACCGAAGGAAGCCACGCTTCCACGACCTCTCTAGAACCCAATAGAGCTCTCTCGAAGGCTCCAGAAGAAACATCTCGACCGCACAATACATGGATCTATGATGAGTCACTGTAACATCCCAATCTATGGGTTAATGACTAAATTATAAAATTTCAAACTTGGTGACTAAAGTAGAAGAATGAAATAATTCAATGATTCATTTGGAAATATTACCTGAAAGAGGTAAGTAATTATTAGATGAAGTGAAGGGCAAAAGGGTCTTTTGTAAGGGAAATAATTAAATTAAAGAAAGGTTATATTTTAACCACGTGGAAGGGAAGAGAAATCTACAAGCTTCAAAGTTCTCTTTCTCTTCTTCTTCATTCATGCGTGAGAACCCAAAACAAAGGTGAGTTTTTGGTTAGTTAGTTTCTTGTTAAATTTAAGATGTGTTTATGATTATTAGATGATAACTAAGCTTAAGGAAAACTTAAGTTATCTTAAAATCAAAATATGAATGAATTAGAAGAGATTAATGATTGTGAGTTTTTGAATGAAATTTTGTTATAGAGTTAATAATTAGAATTGGAAATTGGATTTGACTTGTCATCAATCTAAATAAGGAATAGGGAGTGTTAGGATGAGATTTAGAACATGTTGATATTTGCGTATGATTCTTGAATGCCATATAAAGGATATGATTTGGAGGTTTAAGAAGTGATTATTGAGTAAGAATGAGTTTGAATATGAGTATGTAAGTTAAGAATAAGAAGGGGATGATATATGAAGTAATTAAGCTGAAAAGAGTGGATTTTTGGGCATAAATTGGAATTCTGGGCTAGTGTGCATCGGTACACATTCATCATGTACCGATGCATCAAGGGTAAATTTTCAAAAATTGTTCAGTGTGTATTGATGCACAGGAAGTGCATCGATGCACCCCTTAAAAATGGAAACATCGAATGCAATTAGTGCATCGATGCATAAGGAGTGCATTGATGCACATGTTAAGGGATGCATCAATACACTGTAGAATGCATCGATGTACTTCAAGGGGAAATATAAATAAACCTTTCTTTTAGTCTAAGAAATGATAGATTAGAGTATATTAATTGGATACTAATATGTATTAATGTATGATTATGTAGATATCGAACACGAACAAGCTTCGATATGATCATCAAGTTAAGATTCGATCGAAAGAAAGGAAATCCTAAAAGGGGATCGAAACTTAGTGAGGCCAAGGTGAGTGCATATGATTATAGTATATGATTATATGGAAATTAGACTTACGATGAGTCTATTTCCATGTTATGATTTTATGAATGCATGAAAATAAATATAGTTGGCAGCCGTTAGTATGTGAATATGTATTGTTATGTTCTTTTCTATGTGATATGATTTATGTGATGATGTGACTCTGTGATATAAGTTATATGATCATAAAATAGGTAAATAATAATGACTTATGTAATAACAAGAGAAAATGTTATAAGTTATGTGGTATAAATATAAATGATTATATGAATATGTAATATAAGTTATGTGATGATGATCTATGTTTTTATATGTCTATGAGAAGTATGTGCTATGTGACGTATATATGAGCTATGCGATCCTATGAGAATATGAAAAGAGATATGTGAACATGTGAATTATATGAAAAGTGATATAAATTACATGAAAAGAAGCTATTTGTCTACATGTATATGTGAAAGAAGCTATGAGCTTATATGAACATGTGCTATGAAAGTGTATATGTGAAATGATATAAGTGAAAATGCCCTTGTTATGTGTATTAAGAGCTAGAGGTATAGTTGGCATGCTAAGAGTCGAGGGTCTACGCGATCCTTTGGGACATAGTGGTCCTTCGGGACATAGTGGTTATTCGGGACATATGTGTTATATGTAGTCCTTTGGGACATCTATGTGGTCCTTCAGGACAAATTATACACGCCTCTAGTGGGAATTATACGAGCTGTGGTGACAGCATAGTGCATAACCTCAATAGACTCATATATCTACAGTTCTCACAGGTGTACACGGGCTAATAAGAGATGATATTGAATACAATGTATGAGATATGTATGTTTTGGGATATGAATTATATGACAGGATATCTGTGTGTTAGTGATTATTGTATATGTTATAAGATATATAATATGAACATAATAAATCATATGAACAAAGAATATAAAAATGAATGATAATAAAATGATAATGATAGGAATGAGGATAATTATATGCATGAATGGATTTGATGGATGAACGAAAATGTTTGAGTATGCTATGATAGCAGTAATTGTTCAAGCATGATTACAAGTTATAGTCTACATTATATGTTTATTTGCCTCACTAAGTCATAGACTTAGCGTGTAAGTGATATACACGTAGGTTTCGAGAAAAGTAAAGAGCAATGTGGAGCAAGACATGTCAGTTCTCCTTACCGAATGTCAGATCATAAAAGAGGTCAGTAATATGTCTTTTTGTATATAAAGTTCTAGTTGGCATGTATTAAAAAGAATATATTGTATAAGCTATGAATAGTTTTGTAAACGTTTTGAATACGTTATATGTAGATGAATAAGTGAATTATGCATGCTCTGATAAGTTTTTACAATAATATAAATGTATTTGATATAAGTTAGTCATTTATATGTTATAAAAGTTTTAAATTACTCCTTATTTTATACAAGTAAATGTTTTAAAAAGTCAATGTGACACCTCGGACTCGTATTCGGGTTGGATACGAGTTGGGGGTGTTATATTTAATGGTATTAGAGCTAAGGTTTAGCCGATTCTAGGCTTAAACCGGAGGTAAAAGAGTTTTAAAATTTTGTACATGCCAACATAGAGTGAAAATTTCTGATCTGATAGTGTAAGGAGTATGTGGTCTTGTTAATAGAATTAAACTATTAAGTTATAATAGAAATATGATGCTTTTGAATGAAGTGAGAGGTAAACCTGATTGTGATAGCAATTTACCTGCCCTGACCAGGCAAGATGAAGAGCAGACACATCAGGAAATGCCTCGTAAGCTCAAATGATGATTTTAGGAATTTGAAATCATATCAGAATAGTGATATAAGGTATTCATTGTTTTGAACTGGAAAAGTGATATGGGGTAATTTTGTTATTTCGTGGATAAGATAGAATATGGTGAACAAGTGTCACCATAAGAGCGTTAAAAGATCAAATGATGTGGTTCAAATTGTAGAAGAATTCAAGAATAAGTGCATCAGTGATATGTTTATAAGATGAATGAAATCAGAGTTATGGATTTGAAACAAAGGGGTAGTATTGTTTATAAGCAAGAGTGTGAATATGATAAGGGTTGGTACTTTAGAAGAAAGAGTTAGCGTTGTCTAACAAGATTACATGATGAAAATTATGTTGATTATATGAATGTGATATAGTGAAGGAAATAATAATTCTTATGTTTGAGGGAAAGTAAGGGAGTATGAAAGAAAAGACATGATCGATGTTATAAGGATATTTTGATTTATGGAAAGTAATGGAATAAGGAAAGAAAAGGATTGAGTTTACAACATTAGATATGATAAGGGTTATACAAGAAGTACCGATTATAAGTTTGATATTGAAATGAGAAAAGTGCGTAAAGTAATACGAAAAGATCATGTGTATTGAAGTACAAACAAGGATTAAGAAATGATGAAAGGTCGGATGTATATAATTGATTAATTAGGTCTTGTGCCCTAAATTGAATAATTGTTATTAATTAGCTGTAATATTAAGGTGATAGAGTTATAAGATTTGGAAAAGAAGATAAGGATTTTGTATAAGAACAAGAATTTTGGGCAATTCATACGGATTATAAGAGTTGCGAATATTGTTTGATTATATAAAGTATATGTTTAATCATATTTAAAGAAGATTTAAAGTTTGGTATTGTTATAAGGTAATTTGAGGATAATGAAGAAATAGATGGATCAATGATATGGAGTGATGAGAATAGAGGTTATTGTTTATATGATAAGTGACAGTGGATGAATATATATAAGGGGGAAAATGTGGTTGAAGAACTAAAGGAATGAAAGAGTAAGTAATGGGAAACAACATATGAACATTAGAAGATATGTTCTTATCAATGTGTGCAATGAAAATTCAAGGACAAATTTTCTTAAAAGGAGGGGAGATTTGTAACATCCCAATCTATGGGTTAGTGACTAAATTATAAAATTTTAGAACTTTGTGACTAAAATAGAATAATGGAATAGTTCAATGATTCATTTAAAAATATTACTTGAAAGAGGTAAGTAATTATTAGATGAAGTGAAGGGCAAAAGGGTCTTTTGTAAGGGAAATAATTAAATTAAAGAGATGTTATATTTTAACTACGTGGAAGGGAAGAGAAATCTACAAGCTTCTAGAGTTCTCTTTCTCTTCTTCTTCCTTCATGCGTGAGAACCCAAAACAAAGGTGAGTTTCCAGTTAGTTAGTTTCTTGTTAAATTTAAGATGGGTTTATGATTATTAGATGATAATTAAGCTTAAGGAAAGATTAAGTTATCTTAAAATCAAAAGATGAATGAATTAGAAGAGATTAAAGATTGTGAGTTTTTGAATGAAATTTTGTTATAGAGTTAATAATTAGAATTGGAAGTTAGATTTTACTTGTCATCAATCTAAATAAGGAATAGGGAGTGTTAGGATGAGATTTAGAACATGTTGATATTTGCGTATGATTCTTGAATGTCATATAAAGGATATGATTTGGAGGTTTAAGAAGTGATTATTGAGTAAGAATGAGTTTGAATATGAGTATGTAAGTTAAGAATAAGAAAGGGGATG